AGGAAAATGTTACAGAATTAGAGAAATTTAGAATACAGACCACAGAATTTTTTTGCCCAGGATCAATCTTTGATTTTTAAGGAATTTTTTATAGTATGCAACTTTCTTGTTAGGAGAAAAGAGATAAAATCCGACACTATAGGAACGTTCACTCATCATTTAGTATTGCAATAAATATAGGGCTCGTCCGGGATTTGAACCCGGGACCTCTCGCACCCTAAGCGAGAATCATACCCCTAGACCAACGAGCCAGCTGTGATCATTGGGTTCGTAAAAAGTTTATCTAGCAACCTCTGTCACTATGTGCCACGTGGAATTGTAGGACATTGAGCATCTCGTTGGCTTCTATTACTGATCAGCGCCATCTAGCGGTAGAGGACTGTTACTTTCTATATTCGGAATAATTGTTGAATTGTTTTTAAATACGTTGTACTGTATTAAAAGTGCAGACTATATAGTTCAAAACTTTTTCGCCTCAAGCCCGCATCTTTCCCATACATATTGATCCTGCACTTAAGATCCTGTAATGCTTATTTTATCTTATTTTCTTAATCTAGGAAGACACCTGTATATAGCTACACTTGGCCAAAGCCTCCACCAACCTCACTTTGTGATTCTTACCGCCCCGATGTGCCTTTTCAAATAAGAGAAGCTACCCTTTGCTTGTGAAAGGTCTCCTTGAAGAGATGTGTGCAGCAAACAGGCTGAAATCCAACCGGTGGTGTTTCCCTCCTAGTATGCTGGTGCAGCGACAGGATTTGCACCAGGATCAGAGACTGAATGCCCTGGAAATCTAGCTGCTGGGAATTGCAACTGGGGAGTGTGCTGTTGCTCTCAGGTCTTGCTTTCAGGTTTGGCCACTTTGAGAAACAGGATGCTGGACTGAATGGGCTTTTACTTTTTTATTCTGAATATTTTATTTCATTTCGAGATTCATAGAATCATAGAATCATAGAGTTGGAAGAGACCACAAGGGCCATCGAGTCCAACCCCCTGCCAAGCAGGAAACACCATCAGAGCACTCCTGACATATGGTTGTCAAGCCTCTGCTTAAAGACCTCCAAAGAAGGAGACTCCACCACACTCCTTGGCAGCAAATTCCACTGTCGAACAGCTCTTACTGTCAGGAAGTTCTTCCTAATGTTTAGGTGGAATCTTCTTTCTTGTAGCTTGGATCCATTGCTCCGTGTCCGCTTCTCTGGAGCAGCAGAAAACAACCTTTCTCCCTCCTCTATATGACATCCTTTTATATATTTGAACATGGCTATTCAAAATTACACTTTGTCACTCAACATTTATAATCCCATATCCAATACACAAAACTTAAAAATGTTTTTAATTGCCTACCAGCGGTGCATCCAATAGATAAATCTGTTAAGGGCCAAACTGCCGTAGTTTCATAGCTGTGGGGTTTGTGGGTGGGGAAGAAATGGAACTTTCAAATTCTGGTATGTTAAGGCTAGACTGAGCAGGAAGCTCTTAACCTGTACTTCTCCTGAAACTCACAGACATAGAGAGATGATCTCATATCCACCATGAAGCAGAGGGGAATAAATCTAGGGAGAAAACCTAGAAAACCAAGATCTACCAAGATGAGATGATCCAGTGGATCTCCAGCTGAGCCAAGAGGTTCCTGGCACACAGCTAGGCGTATCCTGGCTGAACTGGGATCCAGCTGGCTGAGCCAAGGCTGGTGGATTTTAAACTGGATGTGGCACGGAGGACTTAAGACCAGATCCTAAGCCCATTTAGCATGGTCATGTGACTTGTTACCATGGTGCAAGGTAAGCTGGAAAAAAGGGTGGCCTAACTCCAACTCGAGAGCCAGTGTGGTGTAGTGGTTAAGAGCGGTAGTCTCATAATCTGGGAAACCGGGTTCGCGTCTCCACTCCTCCACATGCAGCTGCTGGGTGACCTTGGGCCAGTCACACTTCTTTGAAGTCTCTCAGCCCCACTCACTTCACAGAGTGTTTGTTGTGGGGGAGGAAGGGAAAGGAGAATGTTAGCCGCTTTGAGACTCCTGAAGGGGAGTGAAAGGCGGGATATCAAATCCAAACTCTTCTTCTTAGGGACGCGGGTGGCGCTGTGGGTAAAAGCCTCAGCGCCTAGGGCTTGCCGATCAAAAGGTCGGCAGTTCAAATCCCCGCGGCGGGGTGCGCTCCCGTCGTTCGGTCCCAGCGCCTGCCAACCTAGCAGTTCGAAAGCACCCTTGGGTGCAAGTAGATAAATAGGGACCGCTTACTAGCGGGAAGGTAAACGGTGTTTCTGTGTGCGGCTCTGGCTTGCCAGAGCAGCGATGTCACGCTGGCCACGTGACCCGGAAGTGTCTCCGGACAGCGCTGGCCCCCGGCCTCTTGAGTGAGATGGGCGCACAACCCTAGAGTCTGTCAAGACTGGCCCGTACGGGCAGGGGTACCTTTACCTTTACCTTTAACTCCAACTCAGGGGACGCAGGTGGCGCTGTGGGTTAAACCACAGAGCCTAGGACTTGCCAATCAGAAGGTCGGCGGTTTGAATCCCTGCGACGGGGTGAGCTCCCGTTGCTCGGTCCCTGCACCTGCCAACCTAGCAGTTCGAAAGCACATAAAAATGCAAGCAGATCAATAGGTACCGCTCCAGTGGGAAGATAAACGGCATTTCCGTGTGCTGCTCTGGTTCGCCAGAAGCGGCTTAGTCATGCTGGCCACATGACTCAGAAGCTGTACGCCGGCTACCTCGGCCAATAAAGCGAGATGAGTGCTGCAACCCCAGAGTCGATCACAACTGGACCATTAGGGTCAGGGGTCCCTTTACTCAAACTCTTGTTTGACCTCTGCCAGGCTTACGCCAGCTCAGCCAGCATTATTATTATTATTATTATTATTATTATTATTATTATTATTATTATTAGAATTTATATACCAACCTATACCCGGCGGTCTCAGGGCAGTATATAAAACCACAAGATACCTAATAAAAATAAAACAATAGCCCTGTCTCCTGAATGGAGTCTGGATCTGGTGTACTTTACCCCAGCTTCACATTTGGCCAACTTCTTGTGTATAAGATTCCCTATTCCTCAAGGTAGGGGACTCAATTTGTGAAAACTTGGTGCGAGATTCTCCTTCCGTCCGTCTTACTGCAGGGCTGCCCACAGTGAATTGATCCAACAAAAAAACCCACAAAGCCAAGCACGTCAGATCTGTTCATTCCAGCTTTTATTATTTACTCACGTCGTCTTAATAATTAAAACAGGGAGGCCCATTCATTCATTTAAATAAAACAAAGAAAGTGCAGAATGCTCTACAAAAATATATAGATATATTTATATATCATTTCCAATCCTTCAGAGCTGCTGAACGGATATAAATCATTGTGTCCTTCATACCAGAGTTCCTCTTTGCCTCATCATCTACAGGGTTTAGGGGGGGCAGTTTCCTGGTCTGTGGACTGATATTGCTAATAAAATAATTAAAAATAGAGAGACAAGGAAGAGGCCTTTCAAGCAGAAACCAGGGAGGAAGTATTGAGCGCAGTCAGCAAAGCAGGACAGCAGCTGTACCTGAGTTCATGTATCGCTTTATGTGGAAATCAAGCCCATCCGGGATTGGACAGCTCCCAGATTAACACGGGGCCAGTGAAACCAACTTTTAAAGCAGCCCACATGCAGAGATGTAAGATATCAAAAGCTCATCTGTGCTGGCTTCTGCTCTGCAGGACCGAGGGCTGTGGGCAACTTTTCATCTGGGCCTTAAAACAGGAATTTGACGTGAGATGGGAGGGTTGGGATCTGGCGTTAGTCCTACTCAGAGTAGACCCACTGGAAATAATGGACAGGACAAAGTGCGGCCCGACAAATCATCCAAACTGGATGACAGGTTTTTAATTCCATGCTGCAAAAATTCTGTGGTGTCGGGTAAAGTTCACCAAAACCAGGCATATGGGAACCTATGGCTCTCCAGATGTTGTCAAACTCCAGCTCCTCCCCACCCAGTCCTAGTTCAAATGGTCAGGGATGATGGGAGTTGTAGTCCAAGAGCATCTGGAGGCCGACAGATTCCCCACACCGAGTAAGCAAATTTACTTTTGCCAACTACAAATCCCATCAGCCTGTGCTGGCCGGGGATGATGGGAGTTGTAGTCCAAAACATCTGGAGTACACCAGGCTGGTGCAAGCAACACAGGAAAGCAATTGACTCCTGCTACGGGAACAACTCTCTCTCAAACCATAAACAGTAGCTGGGGTGTTCACTACTGTGCCAAGACAGCAAAGCTATTGCCAAAAGGGCCCTGGGCAAGTCTTGGCAGGAGTGGAGAGCGTAAGTGATTTATTCTGGCCTCTGTGGAGTTAGCACTAAGCCTTTGTTTGTTCGCTCGCTCACACACACCCCTCACAAGCCGCTCTACGAAGCCCTCTAGTCATCCGCTCCAATTTAAAAACTGCTCTGGTGTCACTGAGATGTGAATAACATCAGGCCCAAAATGAGGAACGCGAAAGGAGAGATAAAGGGATCGCCTTCACTAACACCAAGCTGCCGCAAATCTGTGTGGCAAGGCACAAGCAAAGCTCTGAATGCAGCCAAATTCAGACGTACTACGGGGCTACAGTATACATTCACAAGTACTCTGATTCCTCAGCATGGAGGCGGCCAGCGACCAGGAGGATCCTTGATCCCAGCACCAAAAGAACATGTGTATGTGTGTGTGTCACATTGTCACCATCTAGATTAGAAGCTGGTTTGTCTCAAAGGCCAAAATGTCCAGCGTTCGGAGACTGGTCTCAGAACCCCATCGCTTGCAGCAGGCTTGCAAAGGTCCAACCATGTTCTCCACCAAAGAATGATTTTTTTGGGGGGGGGATATCCATGGGTCAATCCCATGGGTCATGGCAGGAAATCGATCATCCATTCCCACACTACCACTGGCCACTTCCAGTGGAAATCCAGATGGGAATGTTTGTTGGGTTTTGGAGGCCGAAAAAAAAAGTTGACAGAAGCGCATACAATGTTGCTCCTTTGGTTCCTAGAGGGGTGGCAACATAAAACCAACTCCATTCACTTAATAATATTTTTGTTTAAAAAAGGCTGGAGATGGGCACATAGACAGCAGGACCTTGGGAGTAATTTGTCACAAAGGGGTAGAGGTAGCAAAGCTGTTTCAGGCTTCCGTCGCTGAATGCTCCTCTGTGCAAACTAGTAAAAAATAAAAAATATCATTGCATATAGAAAACTAGCAGGTCAGGATTCTAGGCCAGCTAACTCCATGATGAGCTAGCTTTCCACATGCAGGGATTGTTTACGCATGGAGGGGCATTCTGTCGTGTCAGCTGCGCACCTGCCGTTTGAAGCTGATCCAAACACAAGCTTGCTACCCCAATCTGCTCCTCTTTGTGAGATTGAGGCCTTGGTGGTTTATTGTGCGCAGATGAGTAATTCATTGGATATTTAGAGTCCAAACGTTAGCCACCTTTGGGGCTGATATGTTTGGGGGCAAAGCAAGACCGGCTGCCCCTTAATGTGTTCCGAGTGAACAAAAGTTCCTTACCATTTCCATCCATAAAGCCCTTCTAGAGGAAGCCGAGAAGAGGCAACAGTTATGGAGAGGCAAAGAGTCTTTAAACAGACGAACAAGGGGACTAAATGAAGACAAACACACACAAATCCTGGAAGGAGAAATGGCCATTGCTTGATCTGAGGGGAAGTACTGATCTCTGAGGGGGACAAAGAAGCCATTTCCTAGCAAACTTAAGAGCCTGCAGGGTCAGGCCAAAGGCCCATCGAGTTCAACCAGAAATCCTACAAAGGACGCCTCAAGGCAAAGTGAGCATCCTGACATCCAAGGGACTGAAATCCTGGCCTTCACGATCAAGCGAGCAGCACAGTATTAGCTAGGTTCTAGCTGAGGAACCTGCTGACGAGAGAGCGGCCATTTTGAAACGGAAGCTTTCAGGGTTTCAGAAGCCCGCTCTCTGTAACTCAACCTTTAAAAAGCGAAGTGCCATGAAAGAGGTAAATTAGTAAGAGGCCCGTAAGATCAAAGACGACCGGAACTGGCAACCTTATTCCCGCCCTGGCAGGGATTACGAGGAGGGAAACCTAAGTGCTGTACACAAAATCCTGAAATACGAGGGGAGAGACGAGAGAAAGACTCACACTCAAACACACAAAGATGGACCGGCACCGTCTCAGAGGCTAGAGATCAGAAACACAAACAGCAGCGCAGCCCTCGGGCAGCCAGAGACGGTCAAGGTACTGCAGCGGAACGACGTTTCCAACTACCGTCTGGACAGTAGAGGACTCAGCAGCAGGATTCGACAAAGGAAGAATATTTCGGGGGGCAGGGAGGACGGGGCAGTCGCCATGCTCTCCCCGCCTGGTCCGCGCACGATCCTCCATCAGAAGACGGCAAGCGGGGTGTGGTCTCCCACTTGGCAAGACGTTGCTGGCGAGAGATCGGCAGGGGGCCAGCGCAAACTGCACCACTAGGCCAAGTTGTTGTTGCGCTCAATGCGCTGCACCATTAGGGAGACCAGTTTCTCGAGGGTGCGGGCGCTCTGGCGGCTGGCCTCCAGCACTTCGGCGTGGTTGGCCTTCTCCGTGCTCTCGTAGTCGAGGACGGCCTTGTTCGTGATGAGGGAGAAACCGAAGACGCGCATGCCGGAATGGCGGGCAACAATCACCTCGGGGACGGTGCTCATGCCTGAGGTGGAAATAAAGTGGGGGGTTGAGAAGTTAGAGCAGGGGGAAGAAAATAATTTTCAGCCAGAGGGCCACAATTGTATCTGGGCAGAGTTCTGAGGGCCACATTGAGAGAAGCTGTACAGAAGCTGTACACCGGCTCCCTTGGCCAATAAAGCGAGATGAGCGTCACAACCCCAGAGTCGGCCACGACTGGACCTAATGGTCAGGGGTCCCTTTACCTTTACCCCATGTTAGAGGCAGCCAACAGCATGGGGTGGCAAAGAAGGCCTCCTTTCAAAATGGCACAACGTACCTCCCCCCCCCAAAAAGCCCCCTTTGCTCTGCCCCCAACTGACCCACGGCATCAGCGCCCAGGCGCTGAAGGAAGCGGCATTCGGCGATGGTCTCGTAGTTGGGACCGCCCAAGGCGCAATAGACTCCCTCGCGCACCGACCCGGAGCAGCCCATCTCCGACGCGACCGTGTGGGCCAGTTTCCTCAAGTCTTCGTTGTAGGCATCCGACATGGCCGGGAAACGTACCCCAAACCTGTGGACGAGGGGAGGGAGGAGAAGGAACATTAAAAAAATAACTAGAGCCTGCTGGATCAAGCCAATGGCCCATCTAGTCCACCATCTTGTTGTCACAGCAGCCAACCACTGTGCACAGCAGCCGGAGACTGAGCCTAGAATCTCCTGCACGCAAAGTATGAGCTCTACCCATTGGGCCATGCTGCCTCCCAAACAGCCTGACTTGTCATGAGTGGGAGCAGCGCTGGGCAAGTTAAAAGCCCATCCTCTGGGAGGGAAGCTCAAACAGATGGACTTGGAGGACCACCCCCCCCCATGTTGCTATGAAGGGAAGGGTGAGCAACCTGCAAGGCTCCAGATATTGCTGGACTTCAGCTCCCATGATCCCTGGCCATGGCCCATGCTGGTTGGAGGCTGCTGGGATTTGGAGTCCAGCAGCATTGGGCAGCTCACAAGTTCTCCACAACCACCATAATAGAGGAAAAGGGAGCCTCTAGAGCAGTTTTCCCCAACCTTTGGTCTCCAGCTGTTTTTGGAATACAACTCCCATCATCCCTAAGCTAGCAAGACCAGTGTCAGGAATGATGGGAATTGTAGTCCAAAAACAGCTGGAGACCCAACGTTGGAAAACACTGCTCTAGAGTCTCCTGGGGCCAACCTGTTGCATCTCACGGAGGAAGGACGAGAGCCCCACCTTACCTGTCGTCATTCGGCCCCACCAGGGGGTTCTGCCCAGCAAAGCCCGGCATGTTGATGTGGTCGCGAATCACCATGATGTCCCCAACTTTGTATTCGGGGTTGAGCCCCCCAGCCGCGTTGGTGACAATGAGGGTCTCCACGCCGAGCAGACGGAAGATCCGGACCGGGAAGGTCACCTGGGAGGGAGGGACAGAAGCAGCACTCAGGAGAGGTAGAAGGGCACTTTGGGACCAGCCATGGCTGGTGCCCATTGGGGCCCGTACAGTAGGTGGAGCTGGAGTCAGTGACGGGCGGGGACCAACAAATTCTAGCAACCAATGTACGGACTGCATATAGACACAGACTTTCTTTGGATAAATGTGATATTTGGAACAAGTTTACACAGAATATATTAGGTTATTGATAAAGATATTTGTATAAGGATAATTATGCATATCTGTATACTAATGCATGGAAATGAAATTGAATACAGTCATACCTCTTGTTAGGTTTGCTTCATGATACGTTTTTTCAGGTTGCGTCTTGCGGCAACCCAGAAGTACCGGAAAGGGTTACTTCTGGGTTTCGCCACTCGCGCAGACACGCAAAGTGACGTCACGCGCAGAAGTGGCAAATTGCAACCCGCGCATGCACAGACATGGGTTGCGTTTCTTTCAGGTTGCAAACGCGGCTCCGGAATGGATCCCGTTCGCAACCAGAGGTACCACTGTATTTTTCTTTTATTTCCATTTTCATTCACACTTTTCTTTTTTTATCATTCTTTCTTTTTATAAATGAAATTCTTCTAATAAAGCATTAATATTCACACACACACACAAATTCTAGCTTCATCCGCATCCTCCTCTCCGCTGACTTCCTCAAGCGCAATACTGAGATGTCAGGGGAAGACACTGGTAGGCAGTGCCAGTCCTCCTGCATTCAATGCAATCCTCACACAACAGCCCTGCAAGGTGGGCTAGGATGAGGCCATCACTGGCTCAGTCACCCAGCTGAGCAGGGATTTGAAATCGGACCTTACGCCCAGTCCTAAGCCAAAACTCTTCCCCTTCAGCTCTCAGTTCCTCTTGCACTCTGCACATGCCCAAGGAACCATGAAAATTGATGAGGCTAAATTTTGGCTGAATTTTGTGGAACCGTCTTCACCCATCATCCCATTCCCAGATGTGTTGGGCCAGTGAAGACGAAGACAAACTTTGCATAGGCTCAGAGGCACTATCTTCTTTATCATTTTTCGTTACTACTGACCATTCCGCTCCTGGAATTGTAATCAGCTGGACACTTCTCGAGTTTCGAAAGGTTTGCAGCTCTGTGGAGCGACTCACCTTCCAGAGCGGGTACCCTTCGTACATGTGGAAGCGCCCTTGCATCACCACGCTTGGAGTTCCACTGAGGCTCCCAAACACCAACCTTCCGGCATGGCCGACAACTGGAATGAGGCAAGCAAAGTGTTAAAGGACTCGCTGCTGCCCCCTATGGGCCACAGGGTTGTACAGTAGCGCCTCCCAGATGCTGCTTACTAGCACCCCCTAGTGGCTGCCGTACACTATATCCAACCCCATCTCTGGTTCCTCCATCACCCGTTCCATGGGTTTTTTACCTGTGCTCTCAGGGAAGTTGGGAATTTTGCCATACTCAAAGGCCACTTGATCCTTCAGGAGGTCAGCCAGCCCTCCGAGGCCCGAGCCGCAGATGATGGCGACCCTGGGCCGGAGCTTTGTGTGGGCCAGCAGCCAGTCGGCCGTCCGCTTGCAATCTTCGTACGTGTACCTGAGAAAAAGAGATGAACACATACACATGGTTGGCCGGGCTGGGGTTTGCAGGGCAGACTTCCTGCCACTAGGGGGCAGCAACCAAACACACAAAGTGAGAAACAGATTACGGTAATCCTGTAGCTTTGCCAAGTACAAACATCAGACATGAAGCTTACCGGGTCAACTTGGGCCAGTCACTAACTCTCAGTCTGCCCTACCTTTGCAAGGTTGTTGTGAGGATAAGGTCGGATGGGTCAGGAGGAAAAGGATGTACATGCTGCACTAAGCTCTTGGGGGGGAAGCAGGGTCAGATTTAGGTTTGATGAGGCCCTAAGCTACTGAAGGTAATGGGGCCCTTTATATGTCCAGTTGTCCTTTGTCCACAACAAATTGTCGCTGTTTTTTGTGTTGAATATATGCTATATGGTAATTTATGGACCTAATAGTTATCTAAAGCCATTTGCACATAACAAAATAGGAGCCTACACAACACAAAACACTGTTGCTGTATGTAGGTTTTATTTTATTTGTTTTTTATCTTATATTTTGGAAATGTATATCCAGGTTTTTTTCCTTTAATCTTTTTTGGGGGCCCCAAGAGAGTGGGGCCCTAAGCTATAGCTTGTTTAGCTTATACGTAAATCCGGCACTGGAGGAAAGAGATAAAGTGAAGTAAAATAAATTAACTGGTGCCCCCTTCAAAACTATTTCTTTTCCATGGGAGAAACACAAACCAAACCATTCCTAATTGTTAATTATTAATCTGCATTTGCATTAATTCATAATCCATTTGCATACTGCATGCTTGAGGCACCTCGCCTACACAACTCTAGGGATCCTTCCAATAGAAGGTAGAGCAATATTTATCACCACATACAAAACACCCGGAGGGCACCAAGTTGGGCATGGCTGCAGACCAAAAAATTTTTATGGATTGACATACTATGTTTGCATCCCATCCTTCCTCAGAGGAGGACAGAATGCCACAACTGGCCAGATAGATAGATAGATCACACACATACTGCACAACAGCCCTGTGGGGTAGGCTATGCTGAGAAAATATCAACTCGGGTCTCCCCAGCCCTCCTCATCCAAAAGTCATAACCACTACAGTGGTACCTTGAGTTACAAATGCTTCAGGTTACAAACTCCGCTAACCTGAAAGAGTTGAGAACTTTGCCCCAGGATGAGAACAGAAATCGCGTGCTGGCGGTGCAACAGCAGCAAGAGGCCCCATTAGCGAAAGCAGGCCTCTAGTTAAGAACAGTTTCGAATTAAGAATGGACCTCCGGAACAAATTAAGTTCATAACTGAGGTACCACTGTACAGTGGTGCCCCGCAAGACGAATGCCTCGCAAGACGAAAAACTCGCTAGACGAAAGGGTTTTCCGTTTTTGCGTTGCTTCGCTAGACGAATTTCCCTATGGGCTTGCTTCGCAAGACGAAAACGTCTTGCACTTTTTTTTAAAGCCGCTTGAAGAGGCGCAGTTGCGACGGACCGTGCTTCGCAAGACGAAAAACATCGCAAGGCGAAAAGGCTCGCGGAACGAATTCTTTTCGTCTTGCGAGGCACCACTGTACATTGTTCCAGCTCTCGTACTGGTGTGAGATTTCAACTTGAAACACCGTGGCTCACTGTTCCAGCCACGAGGCCACCTTGGTTTCAAAAATGAAAACGCCGTTGATCAATTTACTTGCACGTTTACCTTTTGCTTTCAGATATCCTTTTCACGAAGTTTTCTGCAACTGTCCTCCCAAACTCCATTTCAAAAAAAAACTAAACAACTCTCAAGAATGCCCCGTGCTTCTATCGTTTCTCATGTTCCCATTGTGAATTTGGCGAATTTGGTGGTGCCCTTGGTAATACCCACCAAATAGTCCCCACTTTTTGGAGAATATATAGTTCCTTCCTCTGATCCAAATGCAGATCTTGGGCTGCCATACCATAATCTAAAGGGAGTTCCATTTTAGCTGGCAGTGCCAGCCTCTTCCAAATATGCCAATGAAACTCCACGCAAATCACATCTTCTTCTGCCGACGCCGACGCCCTTCCCCTCAGGCCATTCCTGCAAATTAAGCTGCACCACAATAGCTTTGAAAAAATTCCAGTTGGCGAACCGGCCAGGTTGCAATTTCCTTTGTAGCTTTCCATTGCAGGAGACAACCTGCAAACAGAACTCTCCGAAGATAAACCTTCCCTGAATTTTAACCTCCGGGGGAACATTTTGGCTGCATCAGCTGATGTTTCCTAGGGAGAAGTGGGGCTGCGTGCTTGTGACACCCTAATTCTTAGCAGAGACAATTAACCTGTGGCCCTCCCTGCCCGATGGTCAAGCTAGCTGGGGTTGATGGGAGCTGTAGTCCAACAATTTCTGGAGGGCCACAGGTTCAAATCTGTCCCAGTCACACAAACAACACTTTGGGCACCCTCTTCAGAGCAGTTACATCCTTTTGCAGCAAAAAAAAAAACTTGTGGCACCTTACAGACTAACCATTTTAATTATGGCATAAGATTTGAGGACCACAGTTCCGAACCATTGATTTTCCCTTCTAGGGATCCTGAACATCTGCGTAAGAAAAGTGAACTTCCATGCCTTTCTGTGTGCATACAGGATGGAAATCACCTGTGGTGATGGAAAAGGTCTGTGCTGGTACATTACTCCCTTCTCCACAACACTGGAAACATACTAGGATTCTCTCTGGGCCCAATCCTGGCAACCTGAGCCTAAGGCCACGGGAAGAGACCTGGGTTTCTACCTCCAGCCCCTGGCAGCAGCTGGGCCAGGAAGCCACTTAAACAGAACCAAAAATGAGGAAAGACCCTCCTGAAACCTACAAGAGTCCTGGAGCTGTGTCAAAGGACCAGGGAGCCTGGGGAAAGGGTTCAAAGACAAGTGAAAACCCATGTGCCTTGCTCCTTGACGTCACCTCCTAATCTGCTTGCTTAAACCTATTTAAAAGCCTTTTTGGTGCTGGCAGGACTTCTCAGCACCACCCGCCAAGCCTTAGGACAAAGCTGCAGCAAGAACACACACAGCTGCTTCAGAAGAACGGTGTCTCCAGGGAGAGATGCCGAGGGGGGGGAATAAGATCCTTGGGCCAGAAAATGCAATAAATAAATATAATACATACCACCTATCAAACTAAAAAGGACAGGTGCCCCGCTCACTTTTCACCATAAGCTTCAACCCTCTTTTGGGATCCCTCTTGGCTTGGGGGATCTGTATCCCCAACCCTTAGGATGCCATCTTGTTGTCGTTTTAGGGGTTCACCCCCCCAAAACTTTACTGAGCTAACAGGGAACAACAGCGCAGACAGAGAGAGAGAGAGAGAGAGAGAGAGAGACAGAGAGAGACAGAGAGAAGAAGACAAGGTGACTGATTCTTTGAGCATCCTATGAAAGGACTAAGCAGACAAAAAGCTTTCTCTTAACAACTCCCAGCACCAGACTTGCCTGAGGACACTGTTACGCCTTTTATACAGTAATATGTTTTTCTGTCTCTGCTCAGCGGGTTAATATACTATTTGGGCAGAAACACTTCTCAGGTTGGCAAGCCACCCTCTGTGGCTATCCTCTGGCTTCTCCCAAGATCTCGTATAAATATTTTGCCCTCCGCGGACGCCCAATAAAGTGGGAAGCCTAAGGGAAGGCGGAAGATCCTTTCTCTGAAGAGGCAGACTTCCATGGGGCTCCTGCCAAAGACTAACTGCGTCATCATCTACACACACAATGGTGCCGCTCATTTATGAACCAGTTTTGTTTTGTTTGTTTTTAAAGGCACACATTGGCCCCAGTGCAGATCTTGGAAAAACTCTGCTTCTTTCTTCCACCTGTGCATTTACCGTCTCTTTGTGAGGGAAATTGAAGTTTTCCCTTCACACCACCCTATGAAGGCAGGTGAGGGGCATCTCACAGCACAGGCAACCATCCTCCTAAGGGTGCGGTAGGAGAATCCCACAGGCAAGAGAGATCCTTGCACAGGGCGCCTCTGAAATTTGAAAGACCAAAGTCTGCCTCTGTATCACCTCCTAAAAGGACCAGCAACCTTTGTCTCCTCTTCCATTCTCCTCAAAGTCTCTCTGCTCTGGGTGGTCATTACAGGAATGCTGGTCATTAAGAAACAGTGCCTGGAGTTTTGGTTTCCCCCTTTTTTCTTCCCCAACCCTTTCCTTTTTGTGTCAGGTCTCAGGTTCTAAGCCCCCCTTCTACAGATAACTCAAGAGCACCACTCCTCTAATGGCTAAACACACTCAAAATCTTTTATTTTGCTGCCTCTTATTACCTGCTATATATATATTCCTATTCCTTTTTAACGGCAAATGATATTCTCACCCAAACCACAGTCAGCCGCAGCCAAAACTTCCCACTGACACTCAGCAAAGAAAAACCTGAAATAAACACATGGCTGTACTTGAGGCCTAATGAACTGTAATGATAATTTATTTGTTTTTTTAATTATCTGGGGCCCCATCTCCACTACACATTTAAAGTAGTGTCACACCACTTTGCATAGTCATGGATCCCACCAAAATAATCCTGTGAACTGCAGTTGGCAAAGGGTGCTGAGAGCTGTTAGAAGATCCCTTGTTCTTCTCAGAGAGAGACAATTCCCAGAGTACCCTGGGAAGAAAGTTTGACTGCTAAACCACGGAATCCTGCCTGCCTGATCCAAAACCTGGAATCCTCAGCATCTAGAGCAAGAAGCAGGTTCAGGCTGGGACACAACCCCAAAACAGACTGGAGTTCTCCAAACAAGATTTCATCAGGCAAGGTCAGACACAGGCCACATTCCCGGGCGGATTTCTCAGGAGAACTCTCCTCCCCGGCATGTTCCTTCTCGTTACTATTAAAGGCACAGAAACCAGACAGAAAAATTGGCAACCCAACAGAACATCCATGGCAGGGGCTCCTGGAAGCCACATTGAGTGTGTGGTGAAGGGACAATGACTAAGTGTGGGTCAGAGATATTTCCCCCTTTCTTTATAATTTAATATGAACAATGTGTCCCAGGAGGC